ATGGAAGTGAGAGCTGGACCATAAAGAAGTTTGACCACTGAAGAAGTGATGGAGGAGACTCTTGAGAGTCCCCTGGACTGCAAGGAGAACAAACCTATCAATTCTAAAGGAAATCAACCCCAACTGCTCACTGGAAGGACAGATCCTGAAGCTGAGGCTCCAATACTTTGGCCATCTGATGAGAAGAGAAGACTCCCTGGAAAAGACCCTTATGCTGGGAAAGTGTGAAGGCAAGAGGAGAAGGGGACGACAGAAGATGAGATCGTTGGACAGTGTCACTGAAGGTACCAACATGAATTTGACCAATCTCTGGGAGACAGTTGAAGACAGGAGGGACTGACTTGCTCTGGTCCATGGGATCACAAAGAGTCAGACATGACTTAACGACTAAACAACAACAACAAATCCATCCTGGACCAAATTTAAAATATACACTGTGTTCTTAGAATATTAATAAATCCAAAATAGTTCTAATGGTAATTTGTGCATTTTGTCATCAGGAGAGCTTCCGCTTCATGGAACAAGCTTCAGCTATTATGAAAGCCATCGGAACTGTGCTGATTAGTTTTGGAAATGCAGAAAACCTTCCCAAAGCCATGAAGGCTCTGGAATTAACACACTGTCCTCCTGGCCTCAGTGGCACGGGAGTAGCTAGAGAACACTTCAAGGTGAAAAGATACTGATTTTGTTGCATTGTAGAATGGCTTGTATATATTCTTCAAATTATTCTTTTAATTGCCTCATTACTGAAATTCAGTTTGTCTCCCATTTGGCCCCATGTAAACATGCATTCAAGTAAACATGCTTTCATCAATTATGCATAAGGTAGTTGAAATGCCTATACAGTGGTGCCTCGCTTGACGACGTTAATTCGTTCCAGCGAAATCGCTGTAGAGTGAAATTGTTGTCAAGCGAAAATTTAAAAACCCATTGAAACGCATTGAAAACCACTCAGTGGATTCCAATGGGCTAAATACCTGCTCGTCCAGTGAAGATCCTCCATACGGCGGCCATTTTCTGGTGCCTGTAAATGCGAGGAATCCATCCCGAACACAGCGGGGAGCCATTTTCTACAGCCGGCAACCATTTTTAAACCCGACAATCACCTGTTTGCTGATCATTGTAAAGTGAAAAATCGGTTCCCGAAGCAGGGAACCGATCAATGTTAAGCGAAATTCCCCCATCTAAACATTGCAAAAACTTCAACGTTAAGCGGATTCGGCATCAAGCGGGGTAATCGTCCACCGGGGCACCACTGTACTGTATATTCCTCCATGTTGACAAAAAGATTACCCTCATAATCTTTAAAAATGAGCTAATAGAATAGTCAGTCAATTTGATCACATTGATTTCTTTGCTTGAGTTCTCGGTGACAGAAAAATATAGAATTAGTTGCTCAGTGACAAGGTGATGCTTCAGTTTAGTTATTTCTTAGATGTGTAATAAATCATAAATAATAGTCTTACTCTAGGGTGCCAAAGAAAAAACTTTTGAATAATGAGAAATAGGTGTCTTCAGGACAATTCCTCATAAACCAAGTGCTTCAATACATTATTTGAACAATCAGGAACTCATGTAAGAGTTTTAAGAGGCAGATAAGCTATGCTATGCAGGGAATATTTAATGGTGTGAATAAATTTAAGCAACATCTCATTTATGTTCAAGACAGGCTGTGTTGACATTGCAAGACACTATAAGCAAGGATTCTAAGGCCCCCCTGAAAGATCTTGCCTTCAGCATCAAATCTACATATCAAACTCCATTTAAAAATAGAAATTCATAAAAATCACCCCTAATATGCAAATTCTCACTGAGATTGCAAAAAACTCATGATCTCATGGCAGCAAGATCTTTTTTGTAGTTTGCATACAGGAATGAATCAGATCAAAATTTTCATCCCCACTATATCTTGTTTGTACGAAGAATGCCCTTTAGAGGTGGAACCGTCAACTTGCTGGCTTCAAATTCAATAGAACTTAGTTCTGAGTAAAAAGAGTATGCTGCAAGAAAATTAGACAGATTAATGGAAGATAATGCTATCAGTGGCTACTGGTCATAATGGCTATGTATAACCCCCCCCCCCAAAAAAAGAGACCTTAGTACCAATTTCTGTTGAACATCTGGAGATCACTGTTGTCCACCTCTGGGCTTCTGATAGACATCTAATTGGTCTCCATATAAGTTTTCTGATATCTGACTGGACCCTTTTTGGCTTGTTTTGTGTTCTTCTGTTGTAACAGCAGACACTTAACTGCCTGTTAACTGCCTTTTAAATTTGGTTTTAAAATACTAACCTATGGTTATAAATACTGCTAAATATCCAGTTGTTTTTAAAAAATGAGTAATATGCCACTGTATACCAAATTGCTGGACAGCAAAGATGGAAAGTACTGTTGCATAAATATTCTGGCTTTCCCTGTACAACTGGTTGGCTAGATCAGTGGTTCTTAACCTTGGGTTACTCTGGTGTTTTTGAACTGCAACTCCCAGAAACCCCAGCCAGCACAGCTGGTGGTGAAGGTTTCTGGGAGTTGCAGTCCAAAAACACCAGAGTAACCCAAGGTTAAGAACCACTGGGCTAGACGATCTGATCCAGCATAACACTTGTGTTCTTATAGTAGTGTCCTGAATTTTGAACAGTCCCCACGCTCTAACTAATATTGAAATAGTACATTTCTTTTGGTTGGTTGTTTTTTGGTAGTTATAGTAAATAGCATTTATTAAAATTCATTAAATATTAGAATATTAATCATATAAGGTGGTTGGTCTGAAATAAAGTGATACAAAAAGGAAATTTCATTTAAGAGGAATAACTCACTTCATAGATCCTATTCACCCACCCTCTGTAGTTGAGAGCTGGAATGGTCACTCCACCTAGAGTGGTCATATCAACCAGATAGGCGAGGTATAAATAAAACATTTTTTTACAAATTTAAAAAATGTTATTCTGGGGCACCATTGTCTAAATCTCTCCCTTTTTTTGGTAGTACAAAAAATAACATTTTTAAATTGTAGTCTTGTGTGAGCAAATATGTTACGTTTGTGTGTATGTGTGAATGTATATTTCTAAAAAGGATAAATAGATTGTATAGAATTGATTATTGAATCTATTAATGATTGTTGCTGTCTTTTTTATTATTATTTTAGGCTTTCAATAATGCTTTTTGGCATTTGATGAAACAAGTATCAGGAAATATTTCTCCCAGTTATGAATTTGCTTACAAAAGTTTTACTTTGGATTTTAAACACAGTGATGTGTCTGTTGAAGACACTGAATCCTCAGGTATTGTATGCACTCTTTTAATAACATAGACTTAGGAAAAATGTCAGCAAAATGCTGCAAAGTCAAGCCACTGTCAACACTAAAAGTCCAGAGACAGAATTATTAGGCCACTGTGATGTAATCAGATTGATGGATTCCACTATTTTTTACTTCATACAGAAGTACTTAAGATAATTCAGCTATTTAATTCTGTTTAAACTCACTTTTGTGTGATTGTCATGTGGAACATTTTGAGATTTGTAATTCTTTCACTACAGTAAGTAAAAGTGAATTTCAACCAGTTTTTCCAATTTTGAGAGGAAAGTGAAAAACTAATTTGTAATTTGAGCTATATAGCATTAAGATGTCCAAGTATTACTACTATTTTTAAGGCTTATTGGAAAGCAAACAAAATAGATTAATGATTTATTACAAACACACATTCTTCACACATCCTGAAAGCTGTTGAAAATATTAATGGTTGCTCTCACATTGTTCACTCAGTTCACAGAACAGATTGAATAGTACAAAGAAATTGTTATTAATAAAGCCAGGAATAATTGAGATAAGCTATGGTTTTTACCCATTATAAAATAAACACCCAAGGACCACTTCACTTCTTAAAGATCTTTTGATCTTTCCGCACTGTAGACTAATTTCACAGTTTCTTCCTATTTTCCTGGAGCTTCAATTATTTTCCTGAAGCAATGCTATTACTTCAGGTATTTGGCAAGACTGAAGAAAGCCTTTTAGTCCTATATGTGTTCTTGAACTTTAATTGGATTTCAGCTTCAATTAGTTCCCAGCACAATGAGAACAATGCATAAGTTACCTAAACTTGCAAAACAAGAATCTTTTACCCAGTATGAAAGTAAGCCTAGCAGAAATACAATTTGCATTTTATGTTCTCGGATTGCTAATACACATTGTCCAAATCAACTCCTTAATCACTAAGGAATTTTGTCATGCCCTGTGCTTTGCGCCTAGTAGTAGTTGGCCAAAGTTCTGGAAACTTACTATCACCCATTGTTGTTTGCTCTGTGTTTCTGATAATTAGCAGTTTATTGTCTCTGAAAATGGAGGTTCTGTTTTAACCATCATAATGGAAGCTATGATCCATTAGTTTTAATGAATGTTTTTAAAATTATCTGGGCTAGTAGCCATGGACATGAACCCCTGAGTTAATTTTCTGTTACATAAGTTTGAATCATCCAGTCCTACTTCTCTGGGGTCCAGTTTCTGCTTGATGAGTCCCAAAGTGCGGGCAGACGGCCACCATGTTCTTGCCTTCTAAGGCCTCCTTACCCGGGTGTTTTCTGCTGGGAGGAAAATATTGGGAGTGCAGAAAAGAGCCAACTAATAGGAAGAAGATTGGCTTGGAGCTGGGTGTGTGTGGCTTTTGCAGGTGGGCCAGAAAGTAGCAGTTTTCAACCTAGTCTGTCAGCAGAGAGAAAAGAAAAAACCCTAGCCCGTGCTCTGGCAATCTTCAGCTCATCTTCAGCCACTCACCATTCCCTAAGCATTGCTAAAAGTGCTTGTACAGAGGCAGGGGAATAGGGGAATTGTATGTATATTGTTTTTGTACATACATTTTGATGCAAATTTTCCCAAACATCTTGGATTAGTAGAGAAATGGGGCAGAATGAAATCATGATTATCCACATGCAAAATGATGTAGTCTAGAAATATTCACTCTATCCATAGTTCGCAGGCAATGTTCCTCTGAATACCAATCAACAGAGGAGCAATCCCTAACCTTCACCTTCCCCAAATTTTCCAGCCTGCATTTCTTACATACTCTTTTCATCTGAAGAAAAGAGTTTCTGTAAAATATTTATTAATCATTTAGCTGCACCCCACCTCCCAGTGATGCTCAGGAAGATAAACCAAACAACAGATTCCACAACAACAGATTAAAAACCATACCAAAAGGCAACTTTAAAAAATATTGAAACATAACAATATACTGTAATCTTAACCACCGCCAGAAGCTAAACAAACCTGGAGGAGGAGTTCCTCAGTAAAGATGTTGCTACATAGAAAATTCTGTCTGTGTCATGGGACACATCAGAGTTGTCAGTCATGAAACGGAGCCACTATTGAGGATCCCCAATTCTAGTCAGGTTTATATGGGAGTAGGCAGTATTTTGGCTATCCTGAAATCAAACAGTTTAGGGCTTTATAGGTCAAAAACACAAACAGAATTTGGAAACAATTTGGAAGCCAATTGGTTCAAGCTTGGTGGCATACAATCTGCAATACAGACTCTCCACTGGTTCTAGCTTTCAATAACTTCAAAGATAGCTCCATGTGGAACATATTGCAGGAATCTAATATAATTTAATAAGTTTTAATTTAATAGGCTTTTCTCCCTGGAAGAGTTTTTTGTTTTGTACTTCTCCAGGAGCATCCTATATGTCTGCTGTTATCTCCCTGTTCTATATTGCCCACTAAGAATGGGCATAAAGAAAAAGACCCAAAGCACAAAAGACTCTCTTTTGTGTAGTCCGTGTTCTTTTGGCAATTGCTGAAAGAGAGGCTCCAAAATTATTCAAAATAAAATTAAAATCTCCAAATATTAAAGGAGTTTTGATTTGCAGAATGTTATTATTATTATTAGTAACAGTAGTACTAGTATTCAAAAATACAAAACACAGCCTTTGGGCCCCCTAGAGTCGAACACGACTGGACAAAAATTGTCAAGGGGAACCTTTACCTTTACCTTACTTCTCCAAGAGCATCCTATATGTCTGCTGTTATCTCCCTGTTCTATATTGCCCACTAAGAATGGGCATAAAGAAAAAGACCCAAAGCACAAAAGACTCTCTTTTGTGTAGTCCGTGTTCTTTTGGCAATTGCAGAAAGAGAGGCTCCAAAATTATTCATGTTCACAAAATAAAAATAAAATCTCCCGATATTAAAGGAGTTTTGATTTGCAGAATGTTATTATTATTATTATTAGTAACAGTAGTACTAGTATTCAAAAATACAAAACACAGCCTTTGGCTGGTATTATATATCAGATACAAGTTTTAACCATAACCCAGAAATCAGTTAAATATCATCATCATCATCATAACCTCTACTGACATAAAAGTTAAAGATCAGTGTAACATGTGTGCTGTTCCTATGTAACATGTCCGTTTTTTGCAGCTCTGTGTTAGAGATCTGCAGCCGATAACAATAATAATCATTTATTTGCTTGGTTGCTTGCTTTTTCATGGTTTTGGGAGAGGGGACTGTGTTTATTTGTCTGTTTTTGATTTGCAGAATGTTATTATTATTATTATTAGTAACAGTAGTACTAGTATTCAAAAATACAAAACACAGCCTTTGGCTGGTATTATATATCAGATACAAGTTTTAACCATAACCCAGAAATCAGTTAAATATCATCATCATCATCATAACCTCTACTGACATAAAAGTTAAAGATCAGTGTAACATGTGTGCTGTTCCTATGTAACATGTCCGTTTTTTGCAGCTCTGTGTTAGAGATCTGCAGCCGATAACAATAATAATCATTTATTTGCTTGGTTGCTTTCTTTTTCATGGTTTTGGGAGAGGCGATTGTGTTTATTTGTCTGTGTCTGTATTTTTGCTGTTTCACTGTGTGAGAGAAGTGTTCTTGTTTGATTATATATTGCTATTTAGTTAACATACAGTGTATTCTGTTAAAGGTCTATATTCTGGTGGATTTTTTTAGGTTCTTTCGTTTACTTTTGTGGTGCTGTGTGAGCCACTGGTTGGGTAGAGTTTGCGACTCTTACTAGAGTGCCACTGGTTGCTGTGGGTGATACTTGTTGTTCATTGCACACAGCTTAAGACGTATCTCTTTTGTTGTTCTTGTTGATGTGTTGTTTGCTTTGGCAAGTGGGTATCTTGCTGGACTAGATGGCCAGGGCCTTACTGACAGGCTGATTCTTTGCTTTTTTTTCTATATGCTGGATGGGTGGCACTGAATTCACACTGTAGTTTTGAATGTGATAATATAAACTAGTACTATACCTGCATAGATCTTATTATGATTTTCCTTTCTCAAGTACTGTTGCCAGCTTTTGGAGTAGATTGATTCTCTTTTGTCTTGCCTCTACTTTTTTGAAGTAGTTTGAAGAATTCTTTGGGGCTTCCTGAGTGCCAGAAAGCACAAGTGGGGAAACACAGAACAAAGGGACTTTTGTTTAAAGTGAAAGGACCAGTACACAAAAAATACAAAAACAAAAATGGCACCTCCTCAAAAAGAACCCAAATTGAAGGAAATATGAAAACATTTGCCATGTTCACAACATATATAGGATTTTATGATACACTACTTACCATATCAGGCAAGAGCTTTCTCTAGGTGCTTCTAATAAAAAATACAATTCCTTATGACAACTTTAAAATGCTTCACTCTAAATGGCACCATTGTTCTAAGTAAATATGAAATCAGTGTTGCAATTTATATCTTCTTAATCTTTGTATTGATTTTTGTTCACAGTGATGACAGAGGTCAATGTTCCTCTTTGGCAGAACAAAGATCCCACACCACAAGAAGAGGAAGCTGCACTTAAACTGCAAGCTGCCTGGAGAGGCACTTATGTCAGGCTGTTAATGGATGGCAGAAGACCAGGTCAGGATTCTCCACCAGCACACAATCCCTAAGGTTTTAAAATAGATGTGTAATATAAGGCCCTCCAGCCAATTACTATTTTCAGCCATTCTTGAGAGAAAGTGGAAAGATCAACCAAAAAGGAATGGAGAGGGAATTTTCTTTGGGTTTGGGGTGGGGACTGCTGTCCTTACCATGATCATTGAAGTCACAAGTTGGTTGCGGGTGGGCTACTCTTACTTTGAACTTAAAACAAAATGTTCACATTGCCTTCTAAATACTCTTGTTTTCTATGGCACCCCTTCCATGTTTCAGCTTCCCATCCGCAAAGCTTGTTCTGCAGGGCTAGGAAACCAAATGGTGATGAGTTTCCAGTAGATGTCCAGTAATTCTGATCCCTGATACTGGGCTTGGGCCCATCAGATTTTTAAGGTGGAGATATCCACACATAGTATTTTACATGCCTCTTTAGAGTCGGTGTAAGCACTAGTGTTTCAGGATATTGTTTACCAAGCTTTTTTACTTTGATCAAAACTTTACTACTACTTTTCTGCAGTCTTTATCTAATTCACAATATTTTCCTTTCCCTTTATATTTCTCTTCTAGGCAGTGGTAGGATGGACAAGAAGACTGTCTGGGTCCCCAAGTCCTTGAATTTTCTTCTCACAGTTTCAAAATCTAATATGATTTCTTTATAGTTCCCCTTGGCTGCATCATTTGTTCCAGTGTGGATGAGAAGAAAAAAATATGCAACCCTATCATATATTTGGTTTCTCCTCAGCATTCTTCTCCTTTGCTTTCTTTCACCTCCAGTGCCTCCCTTGGCTACTGATACTTTAGAGTTCTGTCTATGTACTCCTTTATTTTTTTCTTAAGACCTTAGATATGACCACTCACTTCTCCAGTTCTTTCACTTTTCCTTCCAACAGTGCTACCAGTTAGCACTTGCTGCATGTGTATGCTGCGTTGTTTTCAAGCATGAAGGCAAAAATTGCCTAGACTTTGTAGATCATCGCCAGTGGAATGTCTCTTCTCTTCATTACCCCTGTTAAGATTTTAATTTCTTCTGTTTGTCTATGAGCACCCTTTCTTTTGTCTTGTCTGCCTTGAAGAAAACTGAGAAAGTCCACTAACATATAACTCTGTGCCTCTGTCTCCTTGGTCTCTCCTTTTCCTTTGTCTCTTCCCCCAGTAAATCCTTTCCATACTACCTTTCTTTAATACCACTCCCCATTCAAACTCCTGTCATTTCATCAACATATTTGAGTTAATTTAAAATAAGTGATCACTACTGCTTATGATCATATTGCCACAGAAAGAAAGATTTGGTATAATGGACAAAATACTTAAATATTTCAAAGTTAAACCTAGAATTTCCATAAGGAAAAAAAAATTCAAACCTTTTCAGTGACTGCATTAATATACCATATAGCTTCTGACAGCATCTGGTGGGTCGTGGTTAATTTTATCCTAGATTTTTCATAAACATTGCTCACAGAAACCTATCTTCCTCTTGCTTGATTATAGTAAATGATTCATATTAAATAAAATAAAAATTATTCAGAGTATTATATACATCAGGTGTATAGCAATTGTAAGTATATTTAACATCTACTAATAAGCTTTTAAAAATATTTCAGGTACCAAGGCGAATGCTAAAGTCAAAGACACACTTCAGAAGTTATGGGCTCTAATTGAACCTAATTTTGAACAATGTTCTTTAACATTTTTGAGGTAACAAGTCTAATTATCCTGCAGTACCACAACAGTTCCATATTTTGCTTCAAAAAAAATTATTTCTCCTCAATTTTATCTTAGAATAATTGGATTTAAGCCTTCCACATAGTAAACAAAAAACTTTGATGACTCAGCATGGCCCTAATGTTTCATATTGCCTGCTTGTAACTAAAGCTAATCTCTACAACTTGAGCCATAATGATAGCTTTATTTTATGCAGGAATCCATATATTTAGTTCATTATAACATTCAGATGTGAAAAGTGAAATTCAAGGAATACTCTGTTCATCAGTAATATACAGTATGCTGTTATTTTGCCTTAGGTTCAGGATTAGAGATGAGGGCTTTGTATTTGTATACGAATATGAAGTCTGCTGGCATAGGTGGCTGGCCTGATTGCCCCCCGTCCCCAGACCCCACTGAAACACTTCCTGCACGGTGCATGGCATGCAGGGCTGGCATTATCTTCTGCACATCAATCACGGCAATAGCTTGGCTGCCACAGCCCTGCCTTTCTGCTCACCCAGCCACTCCATGGCTGAGCAGGGAGACTCATCCTCCTGCGCCCTTGCTGGAGTGGCTGGGTGAGCAGGGAGGTGGGACTGTGGCAGCCAAGCTACTGCTGTGGTTGGGGTGCAGAAGATGATGCCCACCACCCATGCCACGCAGTAAGTGAGCTTAACAGGATCTGTGAGTGGGTGTTTTATGAGTACAAAACACCCATCTCTACTCAGGATATAAAAGTAGAATATATTTTATGAATTAGGGTGCAGTTTAAAAAGATCAGTGGTCCAAACACAAAGACATATATATTGTTTTCTTAATCCGAAGCATTTTTAATGAACAATTTAAACAGTGATTCTTTTAAATAATAATTGTTACATTATACAATCTAGATGTAAGCCTATCAGACAAAAACAAAATAAAAACAGGTTGTGGCACTTTAAGGACTGTTACATCTTGATGGGATCATTCGTGAATCAAGTCCTCTTTCTCAGTGACTAAGGAGGTAGTCTTGATCCATGAAAGCTGATATTGAAATACAACGGTCTCTGAGGTGCCACAATGTTATTTGTTTGTTCATTTTTTATTTTTGTTTTTGTCTGATATTCTTAAACAGACTAACATGGGCTACTTATTTGTGCATACAGAAATGCACCCCAAATAGCTGGTTGGATAGGCTCAGATATTTAGGGGTCTTGTTGTGGAGCCAGTGGTTTGAAGTTTGATTCCCCACTGTATTTCCTGGGAAGAGCCAGCCTGTGTGGCTTTGGGCAAGCCGCACAGTCCCAGGGTGTGCCCAGACAAAGTAAACCATTTCTGAGTACCGTCTTTCTAGAAAACCTTGCAAAGAGCCACTATGGCTCAGAATCAACATAACAGCATACATACATTCCAAATGCTAACTTATTTATTTGCAGCAATGCACTGCTGTAATTTGTGGTGGCAGAATTATGCTGGCATAATTCTTCTGTTAGATTACAGCTGTTGATTTAAATGTCCTATATTTAAATCAGTTTAGCTAGCAGTGAGTATTGCATTATCTTTGGTCCTCAAAACAAAATTGTGTGTATTGACAAAGAACCAACATCTTGTCCTCACTTCACATTTATAGTCATGGTTTTAAGGGGACTTGTGTTCTCTCAGACAACTTAGGTTTGTAAATTGATGCTCCACAAGTCATTGCCTACTGTCTGATGGATTGAGGTGGCATATTCTGAATGTATGTAATGAAAAAATGATGACACATATTTGGAGACTTTTGGTTGAAAATGATGTGTTTATCTCTTATTCATATCCATTGGCAAAGGTGAACAATCCACCTTTTCTGCATCTGTTATCCTTTAGAACCACACTAAACATAATTTGAAAGATGTGGAAATGCATTTCCTGAGACCCTTTTTCCCCTTGCAAAACAGCATATAGGAGGGTTGGCTTGGGGACTCAGCTCCTGATCCAAATCCCTTCTCTGGGAAATTGTTATCAGTTGCTAACAGGAAAAGACCTTCAGGCATTATATGAGATTTCTCCTCCACAGTTCTATTCCTGTCAGCAAAATAATAGGAGCTGTGTATGATCCCTGGAAAATCTGGGCCCTTGCTTGCCCATATAGCTCACATGCCCTTCAGACTCAATAGTCAAACTGGGAAGAACATTATAACGAACAGTGATAGGTGCCCTCTAAGTGTGTTCACAGGAGCAGCATTTTGAATGCCTGAATAGGATTACAGCCTACACTGCTTCATCTGCAGAATGCTTTGATAGCTTACTTATATACATCAGAATCTGCATTATTTAAATGATGTCAGATGCTGATTTGATTTGACTTTGTTGTCTTTCACAGAGATATATTCAAAAGTAAATGTAAGTCAGTAGAAAAATATCGTTGCTATGAAGATGAGTGGACTAAGACTTGTTTTGCTGATTATACAGTAACATATGGGGACCAGCCACCAAATTTTTGGTTTGTGGTTTTCAGGTAAATGTTTTCATTATTGAGTGACTTATGAACTATGTGTCTGTATCTAAAACTTAATTTAGTGTTAATTCTTTTCATGTGGGTTAAGACCAAGAATCCACATTTTTCCATATGCTGAAGCTTCCTTCTGCCTGTCCCCTTCATCTGAAATATTCCACCTCTTGCTTCCTTACAACAAAAAAGGATATTTGGTCCCAATCTGTGTCTCTATAGTCTTTTTATAACATTTCATTTTTTACCTCTTTTACGTACAAATATGAATCCATGCACCTTTATGGCAGATCATAAGATGTCTGATGGGGCAAAGATACGTATTCCAATCCTGAAAAGGATTCTAATGCTGAAAAACACAGCTATTCTTAGCGGCTTTGCTATTGATGTATAGAATAAACATTCATGAAAACCTGTTTTAAAAAGAAAGGATTTTTAAAGAATATATTTGTACATTTCTATAATAACTTATCAGATGCACATTTTAGACTAATGTGCAGATCAGATCTTTGCTATGCACTGGCTTTTGCTGATCTCAAAAAGCTGCAACACATTTCTTAGCATTTTAAACAAGAACTTGGTATTGAGGAATAATTTATCAGTCTATGCTCATTGTTTTTCAAGGTAAATTGGTAGCACTACTTGTTACTCTTTATTTTAAAAGTAACACATGACTTTTTAGTTACTTTTTTGTTTTAAAACATGCAAACATGGACCCATATTTCTCACAGTGATACATGCAAGATGTATTTTGCAATAAATGCAAAATGTATAAAGATTAAAAAGACAATTATCCTCTTTAAAATATATTTTCCCTTTAAATTATAGGGAAGTGTTTTATGTTCCAGAAGATATGTTCATAGTGCCAAAGGTTTATTCAACCATACCCACCTGTGTACTGCATGTTGTAGACAATGACACATTGGAAGAACTGCCTCGGATCTTTCTTAGGGTTGTACCACATCTTTACACAAAAAATAAGGTTAGAAATATAAATATCTTGGTAATTATGGTAATACTTCTGACTTTAATAACTGAATATGAAGAAGCTAGGGTATCTTCTCAAAAGATGTAAATCTGAAATGTGGAATATATGTAATCAAAGACAATCTGGTTATTAGAGAAAAAAGCTTTAAAAGAGAGAGAGAAACTGAAGAATTCTACCTTTTACTTCAGGAAAAGAAGCTATCAAACTAGAGACTTATTAAAGAATAACTAGTTGAGATTAGAAATGTGGCTGTAACTTGTTGGAGTGGCAGGCAGGAGTATATGTATGGCATATAATACAACCTGTATTTATTAGTAAATAAGATTAAATCCAATTAGTCATTTCCAATAATGCTCAAGGACTTGAACTTTGTGGATTTTTTCCTAGGTTATTGCCAGGGTAGTTTATCTCATATTCATGACTATTTCCTTTATGGAATTGAAGTAAACCCCAGATGTGCATAATGCATATACTGTACTACTTATCTTTGAACTTTAGTATTGCCATTCAAATTCTGTTATTTTGAGTACCTAATACCGGTGTTATATAACTTCAGTATTATCCTGAAATTACAAGAACTAGTTGCAAGAATTTTAAAGATTGTGCCCAGATGTGCAAAGGGATTAGCCTTGTTTTTTAAAAAATCCAAAACTGGATATTACTTGACTACTTAAATGGGATTTTTCATAACTCTTTTAGAACCTTAGTCGAGCATACGGTCTCATATTTGCAGCAGCTTTAATGTATGTTTTCTTTTTATCCAGTGTTTATTATATATTATGTATCATTTTTATTTGTTTCAATTTCTTATGAAATTAGCTGTTTTATTTCAGAAAGGGTATACTTTCATGGCTGAAATTCAAACTGGTGAATCACCTGTCATGGCTGGAAAATGGAGGCTGCGGCTCATAGGTTCCTACAGTCCTCTTCCACTTCTCGCCCGTGAGACTGTAAACAATTTATTTTCCATTAAAGAAGTTAAAGACTATTATGTACCAAATGATAAGCATATAATATTCAGGTAAAATTCAGGAAAGACAAAAATGTTTGCATATGTATATTTTCTTAAGTCTGCATACATATGTTTGTTTAGGCATATATTAATATACTAGTGAATGTAAATCATGTAAGTGCATATAGATCCAAGGCAAGTAAGTAAGTAAGTAAGTTAGTAAGTAAGTAAGTAAGTAAGTAAGTAAGTAAGTAAGTAAGTAAGTAAGTAAGTAAGTAAGTAAGTAAGTAAGTAAGTAAGTCAGTCCTTTCCAAAATCAGTCATGGAAGCATTTTTTTATTATTAATATTTGCTAAGATACCTCAAGAATTTCACATCTGACATATAACAGTTATAAATTGATCAGATTAAACTCATTTCCTTTTGGCTTGAATAAAAGCACAGTTGAATTTACTTATGACTAAGCAGGTGTCAGATTCTCCTGCAAGGCACTCTCATGCCTATATGGGGATTAATTTTCAAAAATTGCCTTATTCATATGATTAAAAATGTTCATTTTGAATCTCTTTTTTCTTCTTATGGTTTAAGACATGGGTTTGGTTTTTGTGTGTGTCTGTGAGTAAACAGCAAGGTTAGCAAGAGACATACTTTTATCCAAATTCCACTGTCTGTTTTGTTTTTATATTTGTTTCCTCATGTTGGTCTGTCAACAGATAACTTGTCCTAAATTCAGACAGTAACCCCCATTCGGCATCTATTGTTAATGAGCTTAAATAACTCTGATTTTCTAATAAACAACATTTCTAAGAACTGTTGATCTTAAACTGTTAGTCTTTTGCTTTAATGAATATAACAATATCAGGTTCAATTAACTTGATTTTATCCTCTCCTTTAGGTATGCAGTAAAAGTTACAACACCACTTATTGCTACTGTACAAGTGCAGACGTCGAAATCAGACACGATAATTAAACTACAGGTTCTGGATTCCGAGGAAGAAATGGTAAACACTATTGGAAAGGGTCATGCTGTCATTCCTGCATTTCATTTCATATCTGTGGAGAGGCCTTTAAGTAGTTTGTGTAAGTATTATATGTTGCTTATTGGATTGTGTTTGTTTTCTACAAAGGGACAAAAATGTTACTTTCGCATTTATACCAGACTTAATAATACAGATATAAGTTGAATAAGCTGGGGGACAATGTTTGTTTTCTACAAAGGGACATAAATGTTACGTTTGCATTTATACCAGACTTAATAATATCTGCATTAAGAAATAAAAGACCATAGTCTGCAAAAGGGATAATCAGATAAATAAAATGCATGTGGCATGTAAAGGTGTTTTCCGAGGTATTTATTGCTAGAGAAAAATTCCACTGGAGCAAATCATTTGATTATTACTATCATGTGGTATTTTTTCTCTAGCAGTACACAGTATATTTCTTCCTGATGACACAATATTAGCGGTTGGACCTAGTTTGCTCCAGACTCTGGGAGCACAGTCAGAGCATAGTTTCACTTGGGATGTTCTGGCCTGTGGGAAGGGAATAGAGGCCACTTTTCCCAATTCCCCTTGCAGTGCCATCTCTCAGCTAGGTTTCAAACCCTCCATAGCAGACGGTTGAGAGGCATGAGCTATTTGTGTAGGCTTCATATAACTTCCTGTGTGTTTCCTTTAGACTGCATGGTAAGTATCTGTGCCACTGCATTCCTCAGTAAGGCTCTGGTTCTGGCCTCAATAGGTCCCCCATGACCTGGTTCCATATGTGGACAGTGCATTCTAGACATTAGTGCTGTCAAATAAAAGCCTGATCATCCAGAGTGGCTTTTCACAGCAAGCATAACAAAGGCATAATATACAAACAGGTTCTTAACACAGAAAACAAATAATGTTATCCACTCTTTATGTCAGTCTGCAGATCTCAGCTCACCTGGCCAATGAAAAGCATAGACACCTTAAACATTGAACTTGATTCAGAATTTGTCCAGATTCTAGTGAGTCAATGGCTTCACTGTTGAGAAGCAGATATTTCCTACAATAAAATGAAACAGGCAGAAAGCACATTTCCAAACTTTGATAGTTACATTTGATTTAAAACTTACATGATTCCAATCAAATGAACATTTTTGCCAAGAATTATCCTCACTTGTTTGCTCTTTATTCAAATAGAATTACAAGTGTTCAAATATGAAGCCAATCTATTTTGTTGGATTGCAACATAAATTCAATAAAACAGAAATAGCTGATGTCTAGCCTGGGGGGGAAGATGTTCATGTGCAGCTCCCAGGTCCTGCAAACCTCTCAACACTCCTGTGCCCTCAAAGGGACACAGGGGAGTCATGTTTTGGACCCCTCCTCAGCTATTTTAGGTGGGAAATTTTGAGGAGCTGCCAAAAAAAATGGCAAAATGGTTGCCTACAGCCACTAGAAGATGCAAGGTGGCTCTTTCAGTTAAAGAAAAATTAATGAAAAATTGGCTTTCCAGGGTTCATAGGCTGGCTCTGCAAGCATTTGAAGTTGCATACCCCTGCAATGGAATAAATGCAAAAAAAAAAAATCAAATCCCTATTGAAAAGATGTGTGATTAAACTGAAGCTTGGTGATTAAACTGGAGTAATGCTGGCTGACACATTCTGGTTGTTGTACTCCAAAAAAGTCATGTTTCCAAGCTCTGCATTAAATTTAAAGAAATAAATGTATTTCCTTCATGACTCGGAACTACTTAGCTCTGTACTGGCCTATCCACTCACCAATAACATCAATAGATGGTGATAATAATAGAATTTACAAATATTCCAGAGACTGTGCCTTTTCAATGACTTCTCATTAGGGAATTTTCTCCCCAGAGGAACTCAGCTGGTACCCACATAGTTGTTATTCTATTTTTCAAAAATAGAAGATGCAGTCTTTTGACTACAGATACAAGTTTTAACCAAACGAAGTACGTATCAGCTAAATATCAGTGTAATGTGTGTGCTGTTCCTAATAGTGCTGCTTTTTACAGTTTGGATAGTGTTATTTTAGAATTCTGCAGCTAGTTATAATATTTTATAATATTTCACAGTATTGTTCCCAATGCCCTTATGGCTATGAGGACTACTGAAATGAGTTTTAATCTACAAACGAGTTATTCCTATTGCTAGGTCTCTGCATTTCGTTAATTTTTCCACTTCTTTATTTTCAATGGAATTGCAATGTCAATTATCCAGGCCTTTCTTCATTCTATTATTGTTATGTGTGTTATGCTCAAGGTGTCTGTCTGTTTGAATCCGACTATGCCACAAGATCTTCACTTAGTTGTTTTCTAACATCTTTCCTACCTGATGTTCCCACGGATTCCTGAATGCTGGCAGATTATATTTTTTACATAATGACCAGTGTATTAATTTTGTAACATTATCATCATCATCACCATCATGCAGATAATTTAAGCTTCTTTGAAAACAGGCTATAAATCCTTATGGGGTGGTGGTGGAAAGGGACCAAAAAAAAAGAGTGAGAGGTGGATTTGTAGGAATATATTTCAAGTGGAAGTTCTTAGGAACTTGTATTGAAATTAACCATCACTAACATTTTCTTTAATGTTTTCATGCCTCTTATAGCAACAGCGGGTAAAGGTGGTACGGTCCAGAGTGCCCCCAAAAAGGACCCCGAAGTTGCAGTCCCTAAGAAAAAGGGTACTGTTGCAGCTCAAAAGAATGTTAAGTCTTCAGTGAAGATGTCACAGGATGGCCCAGTTTCAACAGAAGAAGAAACTGTAACCATGCCTGCCACTGAGGAGAATGTAGTTCAACAGGTAAAAAAGTTGAAATAAATTTGTGGGACGATTTTGATAAAAGATAATGAACTTTTGTTTACATATAAACAGCCCATACTAGACGTTGTTTTGATACACCAGACCAATACCATCAAGCGCATGGATCACAACATCAGCGCAGAAGCTGGTCTTTTTCCGCTTTGTTTTAGCCACATACAAGAATTATTAAGCAAAAGATAGTTTGCTTAACTGTATTTTAGTTAAGCAAACTTTTAGTTTGGTGCAGAATGTGGCAGCCAGACTTCTTAGTGGGGTGAGAAAACACCATCATATCTCTCCCACTTTGGCCGCATTGCACTGGCTGCCCGTGCGCTTCTGTGTCGATTTCAAAGTTTTAATGATTACATACAAAAACCTAAACAGTTTAGGACCTCGCTATCTGACGGAATGCCTTCTCCCACCAAAATCTACCCGTATCACTCAATCTAGTCAGGAGGTGCAACTGAGGGGCCTAACGCCGAGAGAAGGCCAGAAGGACAAAAAACAAGAAACCGGGCCTTCTCGGCAGTGGCTCCTCGGTTGTGGAATAATCTACCTTCAGAGATCCATATGGCCCCTTCGCTGGATATTTTTAAAAGCTAATTAAAAACCTGGCTATTCAGGGAGGCCTTCCCTCCAGGCACTATTTGATCTATCTCCTTTGTTTTTTTCCATCTTGAATGATTAATTATTTTTGGATATTGACGTTATTTTAATTGTTTATTTTGTTTGATGTACACCGCCCAGAGTAGTTGAATGACTAGATGGGCAGGATATAAATATAACTAAAAAATAAAAAAATAAAAAAGTTATACTGTAAAACTAGTAATGGGGTTTTAAAATAGAATTCTGATAGCCTCTTAAATATATGATTTTTCACAGACAAGACAGTGATCATTCATCCCAAATCTGCACTCATTCCTAGTACAGTGGTGCCTCGCACAGCGAGGTTAATCCATTCCGGATTAACCCTCGCTGTGTGAAAACATCGCTGTACGGATCAAAAAAAGCCATTGGAACACATTAAACTTAGTTTAATGCGTTCCAATAGCAGCTTTACTCACCGTACAGCGATGTTTCTCCGATGGCCGGCAGCCATTTTCGCGCCCTACCCTCGCTTAACAAGGGCGCGAAAATGCTGCGCGCGGCCATTTTGGAGCTTCCGGTGGCCATTTTGAAGCCACCGAACAGCTGATCAGCAGGTCGCAAAGCGAAGGTCGGTAAGCGAACCGCTTACCGACCTTCACTCTGCGATTTTGAGCCATAGGGGCCGTTGGGGTGCGATTGCATTTGCAATTGCTAGAACGGCCCCGTTGTGCGGATTCATCGTTCTACGGTGCACTCGTTGTGCGAGGCACCACTGTAGTTTAAATGGCAAACCATGGGCTTAGCTGTCAGCAATGGGAGTGCTGAGGGGCTAGACTGCACTACTGGTATTGTGCAAAAGGTTAGGATAATAGCAAATAATTCCACAGACTTTGCTCCAATAATAGGAAAGCCCTGTTTTAGGACGCTACAGTTCTAAACCTCTACAGAAAAAATGCAGAGAAGAACCTGACGGAAGGAACATTGCAGCAAAGGGAGAAGCACTATCTAACAGTCATCAACAGCTGTTTATCTACATGCTCTTTATCTGTAAAGTGGTGCCCAAAACAGCTCTCATGTACCATTATGTCAATGGCTTGAGCGTTGGGCCTGGGATAACCCCAGAGATTCAGACTCCGACCTTAATGAACCATGACATTCACTAGGTGACATTGAGTTTGTGAATGTTGCTCAGCCTGACCCTACCTCACAGGGTTGTGATGAGATTTCAGTGGGGATAAGAGGAGCAGTATGCTTTACTTTCGGGGAGAACAAGAGGCTGTAAATGCAGTATATAAATGCAGTATATAACCGACATCAAGGGAACAGCAATAATGTAATGTGATAGAAAACAAATGGAATAGCTGTAAACAGCCCAGATGCCATTGTGTCAGTCATCACAAAGAGCCATAGCTAGAGAAACCAATTCCAGATTTTAAAAAAACCACACATTTATTTTGTGCTTATTTTAAACAAATTAAATTATGTAGTCAGATTTAAAAGCAAACCACAGCTCCCAAAGCATGATTTTCTGTGTTTTAACAAAAGACAAGAGGTCTCTGTAGTCCAGAAAAATTGATGAGGAAACAGAGATTGGGTATTGCCTACCTTTGGCTTAAAAGGTAAAGGTTCCCCTTGACAATTTTTGTCCAGTCATGTTCGACTCTAGGGGGCGGTGCTCATCCCCGTTTCCAAACCATAGAGCCAGCGTTTTTGTCCGAAGACAATCTTCTGTGGTCACATGGCCAGTGCGACATAGATACGGAACGCTTTTACCTTCCTACCTTTGGCTTAAGGAATATATAAATATCATCAGGCTACTTCTGTCTTTTTTTTATTCCATAATTTTGTTCCATTTCAAGTTAATCTTCAATTTTCAAATCTTCTCCAAATATATATTTGTTGTGTACTTTATCTCAAAATACAAATCTCATTACTACTTTTCCAACAGTTACATTGCAACATTCAGAGAAGGGCAATATCCAACAGATAGCTAATTTCCAATTATTAATTTCCAATAAGAGATGCAGATGATGACACTTCTTCTAGGAATCAACAAAGAACAGATTCTTTAGGAAACCCTCTTAATTTCCCAGTTTCTTCTAAGCTACAGGAATGATGGGTAAAAAGAGATATCTAAGATCATATGAAAGAATAGCCTTTGGTTATTTATGAAATATTAACATATTCCTTTGGAACTTCACAGCCTCACAAGTATATTATACAAGCCTCCGTTTTGTATAATAGTTGGCCACTCAATGAGAGTCAGTTAATATTCGTTCAGGCACTGAAAGAATTAGAAAAGAATGAAATCAAAGGTAAGCAACTTATTTAAAATGCCTTTGTTTTCAAATATATTAACTGAAACATGTTTTCTTTGAATTCCTTAAGCTTAAGCCAATTATCTAGTTGCCATAATGAAACATGTGATGACATACAAATTTTTGATATAATTATTTGAAATGCATTCCTCAAATGCTGCTCTGAGAATATTTATATTGAAAGGTAACAATATGGGGATGGAGAGTATGTGTCATTTCTAGAAATTCCTATTCTTCTCAGTATTTGTGTCCTTTATGATACACTGAATGCTATCCTGAAAGCTCTTTGACTTTCAGGAGGAACTTTTTGGATTGCCGGGGGACTTCAGTTGAACACAGTAGATGATAAAGCTCTATTGTGCAAGTAATATTCCTCTGGCTGTTCTTAGGATTCAAACCATTATTTGTTCATTTGATTAAATGGATCTCTGCCATGAAAGTAATTTGAAAGTCTTCATATTTTTTCAGGAAGAAGCTGTCAAGGCAATCTGAAAACATAAACTCAGAATGATTTTTCATTCAAAAATACTGATATGCTATTGCACGTCCTCATCCCCCAAGTACTTGTCACTTAGTAGTTTCTAGAAACCTGAAAATAAAAAAACTTCAAACCTTCATTTCTTCATATTTTATAATATAAAACAACAGTGCCACCTAGGGTAGATTTTAGTTTATTATATTAATATTTTAGTTTTTTATATTTATTTTAGACAAAGTGGGGGAAAGCAATTTTTAGAAAGAGGCATTTTGTAGAATGAGATTACTCTGTCTTTGTCTGTAGTAAAGAAATAAAGAACACAGGCCCTTCTTCTGCCTCTTCTCAGAATAGTAGAGATATATTATATATGTTTAGATTTCATCAGCAGCCATCTCAGTGTGGGCAAATGCCACTGAATGGAGACAGATTTGGGCAGGCTTTCTCTAACATTTGAACCCAGGATGAAGTTTATTTTCGTTCTTGGTTGATCTTGAAATCCACCTAGGAAAACCCAGAATCCAGAATTTATCTGGGTAGTTGTTTCCCAGAAACTATATACTCCTGAGACTGAACATAAAAAGGACATCTTTCTCTTTCTCTCTCTCTCTCTCTCTCTCTCTCTCTCTCATTTGTTTCTAAGATCTAGGTGTGCAAATGAAAGTCAGGGGACTTTCTGTTTAGTTTCTAATTACAGTCAATACAGGGATATTTAGCAAGCTGGGATCCTTTGTTTCCTCTGCATCCGCAAAAGAGAGAGAGAGAGAATGTACTGAAAAAACTGCAGGCACAGCATCTTGCAAGGGGCAGCAGGAGGCTCTAATACTTCCTCCCAAATTTGGAGCATTGTAATACCCTATAGAAAAAGAAAATTACCCCAGCTGCTTGAACTACTCCACACTTGGGTTTCAGCATATGCAGTTTCAAAACAAGGCCAAGCACTGTGAATGTGTTCCACAGTTTTGAAAATATGGATTTAGATGAGCTCCCCACTTTCAGAGCTTTGACTGTTTTTCAGACCAGTCACAAAGTGTGCTCCATTTCTGATGCACTAGTTCAGATAGCCAGCCAGGAATTTGAACTTCCATGACAGAAAGGTCCACCCAGTTCCATTTGTTAGCAGGGTTTTGCTAAAACCCAAGACCCATGGAGTCGAAATCCAAGGATAGTCATTTCTAGCAGAGGTCTAGGACGTTCACAGACACTCTAGATGGCACTGCTGGCCCGTTGGCACACGTGGGTGCTATAAACCTCTGCAGGTACTTTCAATGATATCTAATACTTTTAGTTAGATCATAGTTAACATCTGAGTCATCATTGTTATTCTTTTTTCATATTTTTAAAATAATTCCTCTGACCAAATCCCTACTTACAGGGTTTAAAACTACTGGGCTGTGCTTGCTGTGGATGATGGAATCTATAGTCTAGCACATTTGGAAGGTAATTGGTTGAGAGGGGATATTGTAGCACTTGGGTTTGCTCTGCTAGACACTGGCCCTACGTTTTGAACTATATTATCAACACACAGTTGGTAACATAGTTACCGACCCTTCCTGCTTCCATCACAGATAGATATTGCAAGAGAGGAAGGAGGGAGAGAACAATACACATGCAGTACCCCCCACCATAATTATTCTACACCAGGAATATAGATACTTTCTGTCCTGCCATTCCCGATGCTTGTCATGTTTGATAAGAGTGGTGTGTCAGGGGTGGTTTCTGGCTTCTTTTAGTCACTTGTTTCTGTTTTTTACAATGTTGGCTGCTGTTTTTGTATTTATTGTCAATAAGCAGAACCTTCACAAAAAGACTTCTCCGCTGACATTTTGCTAGCAAGAAAGGTTGAAAATACCTTATCTCTTTTTGCTGTCAGTGCCTTTTGCAGTACAACATCAGTGTTCCGTTTCCTCTGTGCAATTCTACACCACCACATAGGACAAGTGAGGATGGCTGCCACCTGCTTCTGTCACAGGCTCCACATCAGAAGTTGTTTATTCCACTGTTGCACTCCTGACAATCATTAAAATTACTCTCTCCCCCCTCCCCATTTATGAATGGGGCAAGAGAACAAATGAGGGATTTTGCACAACCCTATATGGAGAGTAATTACAGCTAGACATGGCAAACTGAGGTAGATGTAAATCAGAAAATTTGGTTGATTGTAGTTTTAAACTGCCTGATGACAAAAGTACAAAGAATGAATGAATTTTGTGCATGTATATTAGCTGATAACATAAGAATAATGCTGGATGCAAAAATGAGAAGGGAGAACATGTTATGCTGTGTAGCACCATTTTTGTTTCCATGTGACATGTGTTTAAAGAAATAAGCAGGAACATTAGTATCCTAAGATATGAATTGTTCCATATGTCTTCATTAACTTTTATCACTGGCTACCCATGGAGAATTTGTTAATATATCCATTAATCTTTAAAATTTAATAATTCACTACATAGTCTACAGTATCAGTTTGATTTATTATAACAATATACATTTACAATATAACTTTAAATAAAGAATCATATACATAACCACATTGTTCCTTTGAATTATACCATCAATATTTATTTTGCATGAATATTCTCTCTATAGTTATTTTTATTTACAGTGACTACTTCAATTTTAAGAATGATACTTGACATTATATCACTTTGCACTTACTATTCTTGTCCTCATGTGTATTATTTAATCATCGACATTGCTTTTGAAATAATAAAACTCATACTTCACTGTTTCTTACATCACATCTGCATATACAATGCTTTTGAACTCTTCAACAGAAACACAATAATAAATTATTTTTTACTCCTAACTTCTCAGTTTGAAAATGCAGCAAACTAAAGTAACCAGTGATTAAATTTGACTTGCAGGTTATACATTTCCCCCTTATTTCCAAGTTTTCTTTTTTAAGCCCAAGTGTGAATTTTGCCCCCATATTTACAGAGGAAACACTATTAAACATCCTAATAATGCAACCCATCACGTCAGTGATCTGTATATTGTACCGTCTTTTGACACTAGTGCACCACTGCATTTGCATTGGACCAATCAGTCTCTATTCAGAAGAATAAGTGGACAAAAAACTAACATTGGAAAGAGCAGCATTCAAAAACCAGTGGGTAAACAATGTTCCTGGACACTATGTCTGACTTTAGAAGTAGCATCCTTGAACAAAAGATTTTCAAAGAAAGATTCTAAGGTGAAACTACTGAGCAAGAATGCATCAAGAGATTCAACCAAATCTCTCTTAATTTAAATACAGACAAGGGTATTTTATCTTAACAACAACAACAACAACAACGATGATGATGATGATGATGATGATAATAATACATTCATGCAGATTTCTATGTATTATTACCCTACTGCTGTATTCATGCCATTTCATTCTTTCCTATCTCCATACCAGAACCAGTGTGTGCATAATCCCCTCAAACTGTGAACCACACTATTCAGTTATGTTGGATTTAAATAAAAAAAATTGCCCACCTTGGGTGTGTTAATCTGCTTATCTGTGCTTGAATTTACCTGTCACCCACCACTGACTTGTAGATAACCCTTAACTAATTCTCTATTTGTAGTCCCCAAGAAATATCAATAATATATAATGGCTAGTGATTGACCATAATCATGTCATACCCCTTCAATTTCTGTTACATTTCATCTTCTCTCTTCTACACAAAATCTAAATGTGTATCTATAGATGCTACACTCCAGGCATTTTATTTTATTTTATTTTATTCCATTTTTATATCACATTTCTCCCAATGCAGAGACCCAAGGTGGTCCTTGAATTAATTTAAAAAAAACCATAAAAACACAATAAATTATTGTATTAAAAGTAATGTGTGTTTGTTTTGTTTCATTTTGGTGCTGCAAAATGGTCTCTAGTTTATTATAGAAGCCACTACACTGGATATTCATACCATTGTAACTCCCTGCCACTCCAGTATCCTTCCCTGGCTTATATGGAGACATTGATGAATGATGTGGGAAGGATGAAATACAACCAATAAGTGGGGCAGCAATTGCAGATTATTGCTTTACTTTGTAGCCACACAGAGAGGGGAAAAACTACTCGCTCGAAGAGGCTTTATTTTATTTCATTTCATTTTCTATTTCATTTAATCATGCCAATTTCAGTAATCCATGGGACAGCTTTAAGGAAATGGATTCAGAATGAAGCAGATTAGCTGCTTGTGTTTGCCAGTTCAGCAGCAGACCTTCACACCTTCAACAATAGGTTGGGCTTTATTTTCCAGTTTATAAATCTATAAAAGAGAGACCATGCAAACCATCCCCATTTCCCCTTCCCCTGTTACCTCTGTTAATCCCTGTTGTTAATTACATTGTTTTTGTTGTTGTGTAAACACATTTGTCTGTGAGCAGCTCATCCTGTTGAGAAACATGAAGAGAATGTATTGGTTCTGAGTCCGGATATTCACAGCAATTTGGAAGGGCAAAAATCTGCAGGCTCTTCAAAAACCACGAGAAAAACAAAGGAAAAAACAGCTGAAAAGGCAGAAAAAACTGCTAAAGAAAAACCTCCCTCTGCTGTTAGACCAGAATCACAAGTAAGAATAAATAAATATGTTTGTCAAGTGAATATTAAGTGTTGATTTCTCAGTGCTTTGCATGATTATTTCTTTTATTTCTTTTGAGGGATGTGTAGGATAGTAGAGAAAATGTGATATTTTCATTGTTTTTCCTTTATTAGTGTAAAGGCTAAAACCCGGGGTGGGGGGTGGGGGAAACTGTGCTATTGTGAAATACTGTATAATGGAATGCAGAATGTTCCCCTCTTTGAGACCACATTATATAATTTTTAATTTTGGTCAACCAAATAATTTTAATACCAACCCCAATTTGCATTGCCAGCATCACAGTGGTGAAAGGCAAAATCTGTTGATTCTTGTACCTAATAAAACATTAATTCAGGCCATTCATAATCATCACCACTTCCCCCATCCCTGATAGCTCTTACCAGTTCTAGGTTCTTCTTCTGTCCCTTGTTGTGTAGAAATAATGTGCTTGCCACACTTTGCAGATTATTCGCTTCATTCCATTTACTTCAGGGGTGAGCAACACAAAGGTCCTTGGGCCACCCACAGTCACCTTTTACCTTGAATTTTTTTTTAAATTAGCTATGTTTTGAGGAGAGCCTGGCAGCCCCTGAGGATTCCAATATGCCAGCTTTTTTAAAAGAAAGAAACAGACCACGAGAAGGTGCTTTTAAGCAAAATATTAAGTTCATTTTTCAATTAACAAAACCCATTGTAGTAACCTTTACATTCTATAACCTCTGGATTTTTTTTAAAATAACAAATATGCATATTAGCATCTTTATCCCTCTTCCCTTGGAAGCAGGACCCTCAAGTTGCCAGAAAATCTGAAACATGGCTCATGTCCCTGTAGAGGGTCTACCATCCCAGGTCTGCTTAATATCCATTTAAGTGACCTGCTTCATGTTTTATTTTCATTACCTGTTTGAATCCAGATATTTTCCAGGTTAATTGCTCATGACCCTGGTAGGGCAGGGAATTCTGATTTTCCACAAGAGCCTCCTGGGTTGCCCTATCAGCTTCCTGTTGCTTCTTAGCAACTCAGGAATGATCCATTTTGTGGATGAGCTACATCTAGTGCTTCTCAAACACTGGGAAAAGATGCAGATGAAACATATTTGTAAAATATTCAGGTTGTATCCTAGTTAGGGGAAGAAAATCAAGACATTACTGGATTTTAAGCCAATGGTCAGTGACTATAAACAACAATTTGCCTGGTTCCTTGTGCAAGAAACATGTATTCTTCTGCAAATAGGCAGGGAAGGAGGAATTTTTAAATAAGAAAATAAGTAATTAAAAAAACCTTTCAGGCCTTGGTTGCACAGTTTAGCTGTACTTCTGGATTTGCCTCTGATTCTACATGCGCAGCTGCACCCATTCCTGGAGAGGTGTGACCTGGCCACAGTAACATATGCCTTAAGTACACCCAGGCTGGATTAATGTAACATGAATGTAACATCTGAAAAATGTTCAGGAACTTTGGCAGATCCAAAATGCTGCAGTCAGTTTGTCAACCCCTTGTTACAGCAGCTTTTCTGACTGCCAATTCAAAGTGCTGGTTTTAACCTATAAAGCCCTAAATGATTTGGGTCCAAGCTATCTCAAGAACTGTATCTCCCTCTATCAGCCTGCCTGGGTGTTAAGGTCATTGCAGGAGGCTTGTCTCTGTGTCTCATCATCCTCGCAGAAGCACTTGGTGGGGACACAGGAGAAGGCCTTCTCTGTTGCTGTCCTTGACTCTGGAACTCCCTCCCATGGGAGGACAAGCTGACCCAATCTTTGCTGTCCTTCCACAAGCAGGCAAATACCTTTCTCTTCAGGCAAGCTCTTCCTTAGTGACAGACTTTCTGGGAGAGGGTTTAAGGCAAGATGGTTTGCATTTTGCTGGTTCTAAATCTGTTTTAGTAACGCTTCACTATTTGATTAATAAAAAAAAAATTAGTGTTAAAATGGTCTTTTACCGATATAAGCTGCTTTGGGTCCTTTCTTAGAAAAGGCAGGATAAAATGTAAATAAATAAGTAAATTGGTGGGGTAAAAGGACACAGTATAGACAAGATGCTACTGAAACACTAATCATAGTTTACTTGCTGGTAGTGAGATGGATGTTCATGTGCTGTCTCTGCTTCCTGTATCAAATGTTGTTGGCACATTTAATCATTACACTGTATGTGGAGGAGGGGAATATTATTGTTGTTCCCTTTTTTGCTAACCATGATGAAGGGCATTTGTTCAGCTTTCTAACCATGGTTAAGAACACGTCAGTCTGGTGTTTAAACTCAGCATCGGACATGAACACAACAAAAGGCAGGATCTGCCATTAGCTGGTATGTGATAATTGTGTGATAATAATATAGAATGCTCCTTTCCAGTGATATATCAGCATCATACTTTAGTTGAGAGGCAGTAGTTCCAAAGCACTATCTGCTCTTGTTTTATTATGTTCACATTACTTTCAGCAATCTGATCCAAACAAGCCCTACTGGATCTTGCGCCTAGTTATTGAACAAAATGAGATAGAAGCACTGGATCTGAGGAAAGACACTGAGAGAGCAGATGAGATCAAAGCTATGAAGCAAGCTTGGGAGGCAGCAGAACCAGGAAGAGCTGTCAAGGTAACCAGGGCTCATTCTAGTCCATGTGCATTGAACATGAGAAGTTCTTCAAGCCAGCATGGAAGTGCCGTCTAAAAAGCCATTTTCCTGAAGTGATTTGTCAGTGTTAAACACAATGCCTGACAAGTCAGAATTGCTGTTGACACTAGGCCGGAAGATTGCTTTGTATTAATAACAATAGGAAAATAGTCAATGTATGCCTTGTTTTCTTCATATTTGCGCTCAAGTAGCACTGGTTGCTGAAGCAAGATCTGCATTCCAAAAAGGTAAAATGGAGAAGTAGAATATAGACTTCTCTTTGATTTGGGAAGATAGTCCAAACTTCTTGTCATGCTAGTTGTCATAATTTTACTGCTGACATAAAGCAGTGTCATAAGCAATTTTGATAGAACTGTTTTGTAAGATGTACATGCCAATCATTTTTGCACTATTAAACATATAAGGAAATTTTTGAAAATATTACAACTCTAAGCAGGTTTACTTAAACACAAGGCTTTAGTTTAATCCTAATTATAGTGTTTAGGATTGCACACATTTTCTTTGGGGGTGTTTAAAATGTGATTTTAATTTTCTTTTATTGGCTGAAATTTTTCTTGCTCAGCATAGTAAGTCACAACTATGGTAGGCCCAATGTATCAATGGAACATATAGAGGAATTGACTTATGAAATTCTAACCAATTTAGTGGGCTTACACTGTTGGGACATTCCGTGCTAAGCAATAGGATTTCAGCCACTGAAGTATAAATCTGATCTATTTGCAAAAATGATCTGATGCAGAATATTAATTTTTTACATAGAATGCAAAATATGTTTAAACATATGAAGTTAAAATGTCTATTGTGGATTCACATAATGCAGCTGCAGTCCTAAAAATGCTTATTTGGGAGTAACACACTGTTGAATTCAGTGAAACTTTCTTTGGAAACAAAGATTGTACTAAATATTATTATAAAATTCCTATCCCTTTACATGAATCTGATATAGCTTATTACATTAGCTCTATAATTCTTAATTACAGTAATCATTATAATCATCACTGAACTGCTGCATAGTTCAGTTCTTTAGGTCTCTGGCTGTGCAGCCAAAGGTTGGGAGTAGAGATGGGGGTATTCGTATACGAATCCAAATATCCCGCACAGCTGGACGTAATGAGGGTCCTGCCTCCTAGGGCCAGACCATTCACTTACACCTCCGCCGGCACCGCCAACTCTGCTCTTCCTTCCAATCGCTCCAGAGCTTGTGGTCAGCTATCCACTCACTGGCCTGGCAGGGAGACACATCTTCCCTCCTTCTGCCAGGAGACGATAGCCAACTGCGAGGTGCGGAGAAATTGGAAGGAAGAGTGGAGCAGTCACTAGCAGATGTGTGAGTGGATGGTCTCGCACCAGTGAGATGGACCCTTGTTACATCCAGCTGTGTAGGGGTATTCGTATTCATATACGAATATCCCCCTCTCTTGGGAGTTTGGATTCCCCACTGTGCCTCCTTAACTAGTTCAAAGATGATGATGATTATATACTGTAGATTTTCAAGATATGAGGTACTCAGAAGTACTCCCTGCATCTGGTGGCATATTAGGCATCCTCAGCTTGCCCAAAGACAAGATGGCAGAGCACATAGCCCTTTCATCTACACATGTTCTGGCCAACCTGGAATGGACCCACTCCATGGCCAAACAGTCCAAATTACTAAGTTTTTACTAGATTTGCATTTAGCTTTGGCTAGTCATTATAACCTTTTTTCCTTTACCCATTCTGATGTTACCTTCCTTATTTGTTCTTATTTTTCTTTCTAATTTGAATCAGGTTATCAGTAACAGTATTACCAAATTTGTGAAACAATCAGTTATTAAAATTTGTCATTCCACTGCTCTTGTATCAGTCCAGTTCAGAATAATGGATAGATGAAAGGTTGCCTTAATATTCTTAAATGGGCATTAATATTACTGGAGAGTGGGAAAGAATATACTTTTGAATTAATGAACTAAGCTTTATTGTTGAAATACCATAGGTTATTAAGATTATAGTAGCAAAACCAGCAAAGAGTCTTGTAATGCATTGGAGACTAGGAAGTTTCATTTTATATAACTTTCCATGGCATGCAGTCCACAATCCATAAAAGGTTGTGTCAAATAAGACTTGTTAACCTTTAAGATGCCATTATTATTATTATTATTATTATTATTATTATTATTATTATTATTATTATTATTATTATTATTATTATTATTATGCTACAATGGAGTACAGACTGTCATAGCTTCCTCCTGGAAGTTACTAAGACTTCAAATGCTGACCTTATTATTAGTTTTTGGTAAGCTTTACTAACCAATTTTCATTTGCAATTACTTTAAAAATATTTTGCTTTAGAACCTGCATGTTTCCTTTAACTGTACCAAAAGATTTTTTATTATTATTTAACTGTGAGCAGTTAAACAGTTCTTAATTGCACAATCTAAAGGGGAAATATTGGGCATCATCATTATTTTTTGTTTCTGTTGCTGAATGTTGTGACATGAATCATTCACCCATGCGTGTGCTTAATTCATTGACTCATCTCTCAGTTTTCAGGAAAGACTTCATCACTTAGTGAAATAATAAAGCTTCTTATCCCAAAAATCTAACATTTGCCAAATGTTATGTGTTGTTGTTGGTGAATAAGAACTACATGCTACCAATATATACCTCATTCTAAACAGCATATGTTTTAGTGTGCCATCAAAACTACATATGTGTATTAGTGTAGCTAGGAATAATGGTCCTTGCCTTGTGGCAGTCTGTCCATGAAGCATGCGTTGCCTTTTGTGACTGACAGCAGCTCTCTAAGTGTCTTAAACAGTGGCCTTTCCCAGTGCCTGTTGCTTGAGCCTTTTAAGTGAAGACTCTGTGAACAAAACTAGAGGCTTCTGTATGTTTCCCGTATGTGTCATTCAGGTTTGACTGATTGATTTTACTCCAACTTCCAGAATTCTCCAAGAATTTCCCAGGCAGAACTCTGGGAGTTCCAGCCCACAGACTCACCCCTATTTCACACTTTACCAATGCTTAAATTTTGCTTATCTGGGTCAGGGCCTGTCTCTGACGTTGCTCAGCTGCCTGTCTTGGTTCTTGCTTCTTGTTGTTACTGTACCAAAAAGAAAGTCGCTGTAATACTTTCTGGGAGTTATTGTTCTTGGAAGACACCCGTTGTAGAGCTGAAAGGGCAGTGAGACTATGACTTGGAGGAAGCACTGGCAGCTTCCCCCCCCCTTTTTTTTTTTTAACATTAAAAACAGAAAGCAAGGCCCCAGGCAGTCAGGAATTGAAATTTAGGTTTCTATTGGTGCAGGTCTGTGGGCTAGAATCCTTCTCCTTGGAGAATTCTATGATTTGGAATCCATTCCCCCCCCCCAAAAAAAACCCCAAAATAAATGACATATCCCTACTTTCTACCACAGATCTTAAGAAGTTGTGGCCATAAATGTCCAGTTGGAGCCCCATTATAATACAAAACTGTCAAATATAGTGGGCTGTGGTGGTTTGCAACAAAGCAGAATGATCTTTGATACAGCTAAAATGTCTATAAGGTGTTGCACAGCTTTCACAGGCTCTGGTTTTGGAGCCTATCTTGGAGTGAAGGAATGAGATTTTGAACAGGGAAAAAGATTTTAGCACTTGGTTTAGAAACCATGTTGCTTTTCTTCAGATTGCTTCAGGCAATCAACATTCCAATCAGTACTGAAATATAGGTGGCCCTTTGTTGCCTATGATGGGAAAATCAACAGATGGCTATGATTTTGAAAGATAGAGGGGGAAGAGTTGGATGAAATTTACAGGCATGATAGGGAGATGAGGTCTTAAAATATTCAGACAGATGGTTGTTCTCTCTCTCTCCCCCTCTCTCTCCCTCTCTCTCTCTCTCTGTTTGTGTGTGTGTGTGTGTGTGTGTGTGTGTGTGTGTGAGTGAGTGAGTGAGAGAGAGAGAGAGAGAGAGAGAGAGAGAGAGAGAGAGAGAGAGAGAGCAAGCCTGCTACTGCACCTGATGCCCTAAATCTGTTTGCAGTACTAATCCAAGACTGGACCAAGTTGTTTGCCAGTGTCTGGTCATCAGAACCCTGTTATTGGCTTTGAGAGTACCTTCCAAACTAGCATACAAATGGGAAATTATTACAGTGGGTTTCTGGGTTGGTTTGGTAAAATCTAGAATCTTAAAATTCACATTGATACTTTGAGTGAATAATATGTAAAATGACTTAGTCATTAATACAGTTTGCAAATGATTTTTTTTCCACTTATTTGCAGTAAATTTCTTTCCCCAGGCTGCTCAGGAGCGTGTGCAGTTTATTAATAAATTGATGAGGAAAGGTTTGCTTGAGTCTGAGGCTGAAAGTGTCAGCACTCCAGTGGGTTCCGGAGGAACAGGTAAGCTCTCCGTTCTGGAGAAGCAGACGACTTTTTTTTTTTTTGCCTGCAAAACTCTTGAAGAAAGGTTTTGCAGATGGAGGACCTTCATGAGCAGTAAGCAGCCACTCTCCTGCTCGAGTGTTGTGGCGGGGTGATGTGTGCATATATGTAAGTTCCTACTCATATTCATGGTAGAGATGTGTTCATATACATAAGCCATGCCTCTAAATGGACCCAGCAGTATTAAAGAACTTTGCAAGCTGGCCATGAAGGTTTGAACAGGACTCTGTATGAGCATTCAGTTGGAAACACTTATAGAGGTCCTGCAATTAGCAACCAAATCAGTATCTTAAACATAAGTTGTAAGAGCCACTGATCCATATTTTGACTGTAGCATGGAAGGGGAGTTTAATTATTTTGTCCTGTGGTAAAAATCCCTTTCCTGCTTCTATACAAAGCTCTCCCATGTTGGACACTATTATACCTGGCTATTGCAGCAACCCTCATGGATATTGAATAGCAGTCTCAGACACATTTTCTTGGGAAAACAGCATAGGAAAAGGACTTAAAACTACCACCCAGAATTTCTAACATATTATCATCTTAACATATCATGCATTTAACATACTGGGAAAAATTCTGTTATGTAAAGTTACATTAGCATAACCTGGATCTAGCACTGAACGTAATTAATTTTAAACTAATTGAAAGCTGTTTGTTCCCCTCTTTTAGGTTCTGAGGCTCCTTAGCATTCCCTTCTCCCCAGAGAAGCCTTTGGTAGCCTTGGGATGGGGTGCGGGAAGTCTTAATAGTCAAAGATTTCTGCCTGATCACCATTGGCAGGATTGGAATGACCACTGGCAACCCAGTAGTGGTTTTTGACACTTAATGCCCCCTCCCTCTATCCTAAGCCTCTCAAAAGGTTCCCCAAGGTAAAAGAGAGCCCAACGGAGCCTTGAACCCTGAAAATGGGAGATAGGAAGCTCAATTTAAATTGAATGATTCTGGCACCAGATCCAGTTTACACCATGTAACTTTATGCCAGCAGGATTTTGTCCATTGTCTAACTTGATCCTCAGTAATCACTGTGAGCACTTTGGTTGTGCATGACAATTTTTGCCACAATGAACAGTCTTCTTTATAAAAATAGAGGCCCACGTGCACTCAAAATTCAGATATGATCACAGATGCATAAATTAATTAGGAATGGAACATGGGTATATGTCATAGAACGATTGCTTTTGCACCTCCCCATAAGGCCTCTACCTTGATAGGAAATGATGTAGTGTTTTTCCCCATCAGGAATCTTGACCATAGTCAAGTCCCATATCACAGCAGGGAAAGGTGTTCTGTCTGGCAGCCTTATCCTGCTTCCCCAGGTGTTTTTTTGTTTTGTTTTATTTTGTTTTCAGTCTTGAGCGAAGTGGTAGGACAAGGAAGTAGCACTGTCAGTAACATGTTTTTTGGTTGACATTGGATTGGGTTGGTTTGGGTAGTTTTTGTAAGTGGGTGGTTTCTTTTGTTTTGTTTTTGTTTCTGAGTGCCCATATAGAAAAAGGAACACTCAGACAAAACCAGTGATATGTAACCATGTTAGCACCAAACAAACTCAAAAAAACCTATGCTGACATGATACCTTCATGAACTAACAAAAGCTTAGGCATCCTTCAGTCTCGAGAGACTATGGTAACGTTCTTTGTATCAAGGACTTGGAACAGCGTCTAGTGTGCCTGAAAAGGCCAATTTGAGAGTGACAATCCCTTCCACACTGAAGACAAATACAATCTGTCCCCTGTCCAGCTCCCTGATTTTGCTGCTTCTGGGACTGCCTCTTTGCCTCGGCCTGCTGTCTCTTCAAATTGGGAGAGGCCGTGGTTCACCGCCTGACTCCAGGCTCAACGGTCAGATGTCAAGGTTTCCCATCTGTTGAGGTCCATTCCTAAGGCCTTCAGATCCCGCTTGCAGATATCCTTGTATCGCAGCTGTGGTCTCCCTCTAGGGCGATTTCCCTGCACTAATTAATAATACAGATCTTTTGGAATCCAACCATCAGCTGTTCTCACAACATGCCCAAGCCAACGTAGACATTGCTGTTTCAGTAATGTATACAATTATATGCAGAACAGCTTATTTGTGCCTTTTTGGTTGGGCTATAAAGGTATTACCTCAAAAAGTCCTCATCACTTTTGGAATGAGCAGAATGAACAGATTCAGGGAGAACCTGCAGCACCTCCTAGCTTGCCAGGTTCTACTAGTTAGTAGGACAACTATGACCATGTGAATCAATGAGTTCTGAGGCTTTCCCACATCAGAATCGGAACCATTTGACAATACAAACCTAGCTAGCAAGAACCTATCAACAATCCTTTTGACACAAAGCCACAGCAAGACAGGAAAATAAACATCAACATCCATTCACAGCTATTAGCTAACTTCATAGCGCAGGGATCAAAGGAAACTTAGGAGGCAATCTTTAGTCTTGCTTTGAGATAAAGGATCCCATACATGCAATGCTGAGCTGGGACTATAAATGTAATGCCCATCAGATGAGCAAAATTTTGCTGACTCATTGAACAGATCAAATTTGCTAATGTTTAGCAGAGAATTTATAGTATTATGAGGAGAATGCTGTTCTGCTTCCAAACTGATGAAACTACTTCTTCCTCTTCCACCTACTCCTCTTCTGCTTCCTTTTCTTCTTTTTATTGTTATTGATATGCCAGGCCCAGCTTCTCCTGTTTCTGAACAAATGGTGTCCCCTCCAGTTGCTACTGAAACAAACTTAGCACCTCAACGGAAGGAATGGGAGCCTCTGGACCTTACCCCTTATATTAGGTAAATTGAAATGGCATTATACCAAATGAGATCAATATAATTTTTAGAGGAAAAGTCAACACTGTAAAAGTTTTAAAATATTTGTAACTATTTATCTATCTCTATATTCATATATTTGTACCTTTATAATCGTCGTTGTTGTTGTTTAGTCGTGTTCGACTCTTCGTGACCCCATTGACCAGGGCACGTGAGGCCCTCCTATCTTCCACTGCCTCCTGGAGTGGTGTCAAATTCATGTTGGTTGCTTCGCAGACACTGTCCAGCCATCTCCCTTCATGGATTGCTGCCTTGTCGTGGCGAAGGGGCTTGAGTAACTCAGAGAAGCTATGGGCTATGCCGTGCAGGGACACCCAAGACGGACAGGACATAGTGGAGAGTTCCGACTAAACGCAATCCACCTGAAGTAGGAAATGGCAATGCCACTTCAGTATCTTTGCCAAGAACGCCCCATGATCAGAAGCAAAAAAGCCTTTATAATGGGCAATATATATTTATTTTCATGCTTGGTCTAGCACCTAAGTATTTCATGTGTACAAAGCTATAGAGACAAGAGTGTGCAAGGATGTCAAAGTCCTAAAGTAAGTTCTTACTAAGGAGCTCTTTGATAAGAGATGTGTCTTTTACCCTCAGAAAAACACTGCCCGAGCCTGTGCTGAAGAATGAGTCTATTATTCGCGAGCAAGAGATGCGTAAGACAGAAGAAATAAATCTCTTTCGACAATTTCGAGAGCTGGTTCTGGAACACAGACAGCAGGAACTGATGGCTAGGAATCAATTGAAGCAAAATGTTCTTGAAATGTATGAAGACCTACAAGTAAGTCCATATAATTTTCCTAATTGTATCTGGTGACTTTCTTCCCTTAATCATGATTACCAATTATATTTTGGCTTGGTAATTCTTACCAGTTGGTATGCTGCTCCACAGTTTCCTAGATTTTCCCTTCCTTGTCTTTCTTATTTTATATACCACCCATCTAGCAAAATTGCTACTCGGCAGTGAACAGCAAAAATATAAAGAGAACATACTGTAAATTATGATATCCACTGTAAAAACAGTGAACTATGCTTACAAATAAACAAACACAATAAGATAGGCAACAAAATAACAGTTTCACAACATACAGTATTACTCTCCTTCTTCCTCCTCTGTCCCAATTAATTGGGGAAGACCTCCCCAAAAGCCTCCCTAAAAAGCTCTGTTTTTAACAACTTTTTCTGTCATCTATTCAAATCTGATATGTTGACAGAAGAAGAGAAGAACAGTATGGAGTTATGGCAGCAATAATAATTAGGAGTTGTGTATGAAAAAAGTTATTCTTTGGCACATGTGTTAAATACATTGAATAAATCACTTCATTAGATATGTAATAAATTTGTGAGAAAATCTGTTTCAGTTTAAAAGTTTTGAAAAACCACACACATATCCCATTGTACTGCTCAGATAATATTGCTAGTTCATTTATTATGGTGACTCATATCCCCTCTGCTGACTCTTGGGAAATGGTGTCATCTTACTTTAATTGTAACTTTAATTATATATATTAAGTGAACAAATTTCCACTGCAGGTTAACATTCTTACATCATGATGCAGAGCTTCTCCATAGATAGGAGAATCTGATGATAAATAATAGAGTCGAATCATTGTATTCTACTCCTAAGGGACAAGTTGCTAATGATACCTAGTTCTACCTCTTCTTTCCATCTAAATCTAAGGAAGCTGTTCTGGTTCTGAAACAGTGCTTAATATAGGTAATAAACAGGATGATGGCAAAGAAATTGAAGTTTAATTCAGGTAAGACATGTGATTAGTCATATGGTAGATTTTCACTTAGATCAGAGTGAAAAATCTTCTAGAAGTTTCAGGTTTCCAGGTTTAGGTATACACCTAGTTTTGGACTTCAACCTGGATGCCCAGGTTTCAGTGATAGCTAGGACTGGTATACCTGTTGGATGGGTCCATAGTGACAGGTGCCCCTGTTACATTCCAGTTACACATCTGTAACTTCCTCTGTGTGGGTCTGTCTTTGAAATGAGTTCAGGAACTTCAGCTTGTTCAGATTACAGCAGTTGGGCTTTTGAATGGGCTTGTTAGCAGAAGCATGTGTCCCCAGCTATCAGTCTCTTTCTAGGCACAATTCAAGTGATACTTACCCTATGCATGTTTGAATTAGGTTAACGGAAAGACTGCATTCTCTCATATGAGCTTCCCAAGGTGTCAAAATCTTTTCTTGGTTCTTCTGCTATTGGAGACAAATTTGATGCAGATACAGGACTCTCTTGGTAGCTGCTGCCAAGCCCTGGAGCTCCCTGTAAAAGGAGGCTAGTCTGGGACCCCTTCTATTATCCTATTTATAGACAAAAACATTGTTATCCAGGCAACCTGTGGAATCTAAACCACATTGTCATTTAGGAGAGCCTTGACTGATTAATAATAAAAAGAATATGCTGTGAAGACGATTCCACTTAAAGCAACCCTTCCCAGGATTTCCTAGATTTTGAGCACTCCCAGGTTTACCATTCCCGTCTCTTGGGGTCATTCTGATACCATGTAGCTTACCCAAGGCCATAGAGATGGGTTCTTCTCCTGCAAAGCACAGTGTGGAATCAAACTTCCAGCCTCTGGCTGTACAACCAGGTCCTCCAACTCAATGAGCTATGAACCAGGCCTTAACCAGGTGTTGTTACTTCTTATTTGTTTTCTGTTAGTATGGATTTATGCTTTAATTGCATTTATTTTAATTTTTATTTATTACTCTTACCCTGCCTTGAGTGCCCTTTCCTTGGCTGAAAGGAGGATGTAAGCTTAAATCAATCAATCAATCAGTCTTGTTATATAAATCTCTTGTAGCTATTCTCAGATTCTTCTAAAATTGTTCGTAATTCTAATTTACAGTTAATTTATTTAAAGAGTAAGTACTGTATATATAAGGTAGAATTCATGTTACTGGGGTTTTCTTGGAGTATACTGAAATTGTTAAAAGATAATTGTTCCAACTTATAATTTTAAAATCCAAACAGTTAAGGAAAATTAATAGGTAAGGGAGTATATCTGTATCTGTATTTCACTTTTTGGAAGTGAATCACTTAAAATATAAGAGAGAGAAGTTGTCTTGGTTTATACCTGAGGAATGATTTTGCATGAGATGGATATATTTGTCTTTGGATAGGCATCCTTAGATGAAGCACGAGGCAGGGTTCTCAGTGTCCGGGAAGCATACAGAGCTAAGCTACTAGAAGCCGAACGCTTAAGGCAAGAAGCACTAGCAGCTGAAGAAGCTGCCCTTCGAGCAGAACAAGAGAAGAAAACGCCAGATGTGCAGAAAAAAAAGGGAGGAAAAGGTAAAGGGAAGAAAAAATGATACATCTGAAAGAGCAACTCTACAAATGACCTTACTGTTCAGAAATGAGTATCTTTTTTTACAGTATTGTTCAGAATCGATATCTGCAGCATTGGATGATACAATTCTTTTTCAAAGTGTTGTTTCGAAGTCCATTTAGATATGCCTCATCCTTATTAGCATGATGTCACTGACTTTAAAGTGTTAAGGTTAATCTTATAATTAGTTTTTGAATATATATTACATGTTAAAGACAATAAATGTTTACAAAGAAATTGTAAATTGCATGTGTTTCAGTATTTTCAGCTGCTTTCCAGATTCAGTTAGAATTAAAATCAGAAAAAAATATGTAGTGGGGGTGAAGAGAATAATTCCCAGCTGCTACCTTCTGTATACTCTGTAGGACAAGAAAATGGGTGTACTGTGAAGCAAAAAGAAAAAGCACACTACTTGTGTATCGCCCCATAGCACTTCAAGCATTCTCTGGGTGGTTTACAAGTTAATTACGGAGGCTACACATTGCCCCCCCAAGCAAGCTAGGTACTCATTTTACCAACCTCGGAAGGATTGAAGGCTGAATCAACCTTGAGTCCGCTAACTGGGATTGAATCCCAGATTGTGAGCACAGTTTTGGTTGCAGTACAACAGTTTAACCACTGCACCATGAGGCTCTAGTAATATAAGCTGAAGCCCTAGTAATACGAGCTAAAATCCTTAATTTTGTTTTATTTTCTATGGGCCAAGACTGGTACCAGCAGCTGATTGCTATTTTGCTGGATATTTAGCTACAGATTTTACAGGCCAGGCCTACGAGTCCCCATGTTTGTAACTACGGAATAAAAAGGCAAAGTTTTGAATCTAGCAGTCTCGTCACTCCAGAGCTCCAGATGTGGAGAGAAGCAGAAAAGTTTAAAAACCATTTTGACTAGATGTTGAAGCTACAGGACCTGTAGTTAAAGTTAAATTCCAAGACAGTCTGGAAACATGAAGAATCAGCTTGAAGCGTGGTAGTGTGGTTCTCATATGGTTTCACCTCAGAAAGGACAAAATCACTTGTCTCTCTTTGCCCCATTGGCAAACGCCTGCAAGTCATAAATTCCCCATTGCCCTTTATTGAAGCCTAAGGCTCCTGTTTGGGCCAAGAGCAGAAGCACCAGGAAATATAGTGATCTGTATACAGTATAAGAGGCATGCCAAGCAAAAATAGAAAACTGGAGCCACATAGTATTAGCTAGTGGTTAAAGGAACCATTAAAGGTATCTGTTTGCTTTTTCCGGGTGCTTCTGCTCCCCATCAAACAGGAACCACAGGCTTTTGAAGACTTTAACATTATGTTGCCATCAGTGCACAGCATCTGGGAAGCATCCAGAGCCATATTCCTGATGCCATGTGGATTTTATACCATGATATCTCTTGTTGTTCCTGTTTTAGTGGCCAGACTTCCCCACTCCACCCATCAGAGTGACCACTTTCTCAAGGGAGTGTAGTCTATTCTCTGATTAGACCAGACAAATGTCTTGGAATAGTTTTCTTCCCAAAAGTTCCTGTGACATTGGTCCTTTCTTATCAAAACTTATTTTTGCACAGATAGCCTGACAGAGACAACTGCATAGTTTTTTGCTGAGTCATTTTGAAGAGGCGAGAGGAAGCTTTTGCTGACTTTGCACAGTACCAGTAAAAAGCATCTCTCAAGCTGCTGAAAAATAATGTTAATACATTGTTTCTAAATGCTTGACTGTTTCAAGCCTGTGTGCTTTTTTTTATGATATTTCAAGGCTCCTGCAAAGAACAAGGTTCATTTCTTTTTCAAACATATGAATGCTTTCCCCAGTGAGCATCAGTGTATATGGCATGTTGTGTCTACTCAGATACTCCATGTGCAGGCAGCTAGTTTCAAAGATGATTTGGAAAGTTTTCCAAGAAATGCAATGCTAATAACTACAGAAATAGCTTAATGTATCAAGACAAGTCTGATTCATGTAGACTGGAAGAAAACCAAGAAAAATAATTCCGCTTCGTAGATTTGAAAGATTTTAAATCTTTATTAGAGTTCTCTGCAGTGACATAAATATTAGCTTCCAGAAGCTTTCCTACATTATAAGGCTATTCTTGTGGCTGTATCTCCTAGACCATCTAGGAAACCTGAATAATTTGCCTCCCTGTTACATGTTTGCCATGCCTAAAAACAAAGCATAAATTTTAAATAACAGAATGTTATCTAAGATATCGCCTTAAAAGACGTCATCTTTTAGGGCAAACATTCACACAGTAGCCTTCGGAAGAAACACAAATGCAGTACAATACAATTTAACAAATCAGATAAATAGATTGGGCTGATATATCATCAAAAATAACATATAGAAGCCATGAAACGTGAGTATTATCATACAATTACATATGTCCTTCATATGTGCAATCAAGTATGATTTCTTACATTGAATTACTTCTTCGGCAATATGAAAATTATGAAAAATAATGCACTTTTCCTAACCGTTGCAGGAGGAGGAGGAGCTTTTGTTATTGCTTTCTCTCAGATATGAGATTTTGTAACAATACAGTGGGCAGAAATAACCTGAGGAAGAGAACTGGTGTTTTTAGGCTAGTAAAGCAGTAAGTCCTAAAAAAGCCAACACAGAGAGACCTAACAGAAAAGAACAGACAAGTATGAATTGGTGAAAGAGGACTTCAGATGGACACACTTCATGTATGGAATGGCTTGTGGAATTCACATTCAGGCTAAATGGCTGGCCTCAAGGCAGCATGAGCCATCCATGCAGAAGATGGAAAACTCAGGAAAAGGCCACATGGCCATGGAAACAATACAAATGCAGGAGCAGGTGATACCTTTAATCAACCATTAAGAATATAAAACAAAAAATGCAGAGAAGGCATGGCTAGTCAATACAGCAGAGCTTAGCCAGACAACAGTCATGCTTCCCTGTCACATATTGGTAAATGTGGGTATTTGTACAAAACCTAGAGCATTTCCATAAGTGATCCGGTAAGAACAAGTGTGGAACACTAATTCAGATTGTGTCAGGCCCTGTATTTAATTATCTATTTGTATGCTTCACAAAACCCTAGCAATTTAATGATACTTGTTATTTTAAGAAAAATGGATGAAGAAGGGAGGGTAAAGGCTCTCATCAGAGAAAGAAGATGCTAAAAAGAAAGGAGAAATCCAGAACAAGATCAAGGAGCATCCATGCTGAGCAAAGGAAGAAAATGAGAATGACATCCATGCTTGAAGGAAGTTCAGAACATCAACAACAACAGAATGCCTGTTCTATGATCTATGCCCAGCCATGGTCATGTTTTCCTCTGCACATTTAATAAGCATGTATTGAAGTACACATTCCTAATCACACTGGAAACATCCACCCATGGGAAAAAATATTTTAAAAAAGCAAAGCAAAGCGTGCTGCTTATATACCGCCCCATAGTGCTTCAAGCACTCTCTGGGTGGTTTACAAGTCAATTATGCAGGCTACACATTTAATGTTTTAGTCTAGTGTTAGTTTAAAACACGTAGGTTCAAAGTTTTCACAATAACGTGTTTGCCTTTTACTGCTCTTGTTTATTTCATATACCATCAAAGAACACTATTTTCCATTCCTCACAATTGTTTAGTTCAATAAACTTTAAATAATAAGCCATGTTCATTATTTATATATCAGAGGCAGTTTCTTTGCCAAAACTAGATCTGTCACTGACCTGATTCACTATATTTATGTTGACATTCGTCAAGGTTTTTCTCTGTACACAGCTAGAGCTTTTTCAAAATCATTGTTGCAAACATTTCATGACCAAAATGGCAATGTCTTGGTAGTTCTGGAATCTGATTTGAGATGTTCTTCTCCTTTTCCTTGTATTCTAAAAGAGTTACATTCTTTTGGAGTCACCACAGAAGGCTTAGAAAGGAGGGGGGAATATTGAAAGAAGAGTTGGTTGGTGTACCTCTTTCATCTGGAATTGTGCTGATGTTTTAGTGTTTATACCTGCTTTCAGGTACCCGGTTCCCTCAAAGAATTCACTGGATGTGGTAGCTTCAGTGCATATTGTTAGCAAGACTTCTCTGTTTACAATACAGTACTTGGTGAAAATACTTCCAGAGCTAGATACTATACATATGCAAATGACTTCTTGTATTGACATGGCAGAGGATTCTGTGGAAACACAATATGGATTCCAGACAGTACCAGGTTTAATCAACTTTGGCATGTAAAAAAATAATCCATTAGGACAGCATAGTAACAGTCTTTCATAGAACAAAATATGTAAATGCCAAGTAGGCCTGTCTATGAAAAACTTTTTACTGTCTCAGAGCATAATAAAAGTTGACCAATCACAGTCAAACAGATGCCTGTCTATGAAAAACTTTTTACTGTCTCGGAGCATAATAAAAGTTGACCAATCTCAGTCAAACAGAATTGCTATTAAAAGCTTGCTTTTTATTGTTTTATTAGTTTTTACTTGGACACTAAACCAGTTAAGTGTTTGAGTCAATTCAGTCTGTTTGACTGGGAGTGGTTAGCTTTTAGGCCTGTATATGTTTAGCCAAATACTTCATTTAAAAACAATGTGCTTAATTAGTGATCATAATGGACAGGCTCTCATTTTGGATAATTAAGGGTTCCCTGACTCACTGAGGGGTCCTGTTTGCAGCCTGGTGGCAAGAGAGCAAGGGGCAATGATCAAATGGAGGTAGCAAGAGTATTATTATTATTATTATTATGCCATTATACATAATGTTGGTAAGGCTGCTCCTGGAGTATTGCATACAGTTCTGGTCGCCACACCTCAAAAAAGACATTGTAGAACTGGAAAAGGTGCAGAAAAGAGTGACTATAATGATGACTGGGCTGGGGCCCCTCCCTTATGAGGAAAGGCTACAGCGTTTGGGGCTCTTTAGTCTAGAGAAAATGCACCTGATGGGGGGCATGATTGAAACATATCAAATTATGCAGGGGATGGATAAAATGGATAAAGGGAAGCTCTTTTCCCTCTCATGCAATACGAGAACCAGGGGATATCCTCTCCAATGGTGTGTTGGGAGAGTGAAAACAGACAAAAGAAAATATTTCATGACCCAGCGTGTTGTTAGTCTGTGGAACTCCTTGCCACAGGATGTGATGATGGCATCTGGCCTAGATGCCTTTAAAAGGGGATTGGACAGGTTGCTGGAGGAAAAATCAATTGCA